GATTGCAAGTCCCTTGTCAATTTCCTTGGATTTTCTTCAATCGCAGTCTGATTTGGGCAACTACCTCCTAACCGAAACTCCTCTAACCTATTCATCATCGACAACAATAGCGGAGATCACAACATCTTTATAATTGAAATATTGGTTCTAGATCTCGGACACGGGCAAGAAGTACTGTACATTTCTCCAACACTCGAAGTATTCTGTGGCACGTACTCAGATCCACCGCAAATTCATAAATCAGGCAATTGTGGCACGAATCAAAACGACGAAAACATCAATTCCTCGACAACAATGAGGTACATTTTAAACTATTTTCCGAATTTACGAATGGTTCAGAAAAAACTCGAAAACGGGTCAGAAATATTACGAGTATTTATTTAAATTCAGTATTTCACGTCGAACGAGTGTTCTAGGATCTAGGTGGTTCTGCTGGTAACTGGAGTCCAAGAAAAAAAAACCAACTCACCTGATTCTCACGAATGTATGCTATGAAAATGCGTCAAACTGAACATTCAAGATTTTAAAAAATTCACGAAATTGCATCATGAGATTAGAAAACTTTCTGGCTTGGGCCAAAGTACCTCTTTCAATTCACAGCATGCTGAAAATGTTTTATGAGAGATTGAACACTAATTTTTGGCGCAAATCAAAAATTGTTTGGATCAGTTTTCTTGAAAGGCAAAACTTCCGGGGGGATGGGGGTGGCAATAAGAAAATGTTTCATATTCTTCCTAATGTTTCCCAAAATTCCTTGCTCGAAATAACCTCTACCTTCAAGTTCAGAATCCTGTCAACTCATTCAAGAAGCAATTACGGCCCAGAATATCACCATTTACTATCTCCTGCAATTCTTCTCTATTTCCCACAACAAAAATGCTTGGTTCCATAACTCGAACCTCTATAATTTGAAACCTCCTTTAGTCAATTTTCTTTTCCTCTGGTCCTTTGGAATTCGACTTGGAAAGGTTCGGCTGTATTATTCTAAAAAACGACAATATTTTCACTTTCTAACTGCTTTGACATATTCTGCACAGCCCAGAGAAAGAAAGATAGCCACGTCAGGGACAATTAACCACGCCGGGATTGCCTGTGGGATGCGCGGGAATAGGAAAATTCTCGTACAGTCACATATTCAAAATGAGCGGAAGATGGGGAAGGGGGTAAACTTACATGCAGCGTTGCGCATCATAAAGAACGATCTGATCGTCCTCGCTGCTCGTGACGAGGTAGTCGCCGTTGTCGGCAAAGCACATGGAGTTGATGGCGCTCGCGTGCTCGTGGAAAGTCTTGGCCACGTGGAACCGCTGGAAAGTGTCGTTCGTCATCGGCAGCTTGCAGGCGTCGTCCTGGTCCCCGCTCGGGCGCCGCGGGCCCATCGCGTCCCGGGCGGCGACGCGCTCGTCACCACTGCTGCGCCTCCGCCGGCTGGCTGAGTAGCGAAAGTGGGTGCGTGCGTGGAGTATCAGGCGGGGGCGCGGTGTTGGTGCAATGACCGCACTTTTGTTGTCGGTTTCCCAGTTAAAACGGTCGGCCGAGAACCCTGTTGATCTGTCCTCTTCGAGGGACTCATTCGAGGCCGACCTGACAGGTTCCGAGAGTCTAAACCGGGTTAATCGAAATGTTAGCAAAGCGTCTTTCACCAAAATGAACATAACGGGTTGTTCTGATGCACTTGACATTACTTGGACACGTCAACACCGCCCACCCATTAAAATTCACTGAGATTGATGCACCTAAAAGTTTATACACGTCGACAAGCGCCTCGAGCTTGAAATCCTTGTATTCTCTCATTTGCTACACGGAAACAATTTAATTTTCTTTAAATTTCCTGAAGGGCAAAAAACTTCATAAGTTAGACAATACAGTAGCTTAAAATTTGAAAAATATAACTTTGAAAGCGATTGATATTCAAGAATTACTTTCCGAAGTACAGGATCTCACACCTGAAGATGCCTTAGCCCATTTCACAAGCGTTAGCAAGCGACATAAATTGAATCTTTTCCGAATTCTTGAATACGGTATTCATTCGAGTACCATGCGACCTTGAGTAAGGCGCGCACCCGAATTTTTCAGCATACAATTTGAATAAAAATGCATCCCCGAGTAAGAAGCGCACCCCATTTTCGGAGACTGGACAATGAAATATCCTGGAAATAAAATGCATTAGACTTTAAATTTTGACTTGAATCGTGGCCAATTTCGGAATCAATTTTTCAAATTGTCTGATCGACAATTCCTTCTGGGAATCAAGTATGAGGTGCACAAACGCTTTAAAATGTGCTTTAAATATTATACACATCTATGAAGCTCACCCTCTTTCTTCTTCTACGTTAAAAAAAAAAGTGCGCGTGGTACTCCAGTAAATAAGGGAATACCATGTAGATTTTACGAGTACTGTACAAGTGACTTAAAGGAATACCTACGATACGTTTTGAGCTTCTAGTAAACTTGAATCAGAGGAGAGAGCAAAGAGGTGCACCCAAGTTTTTGTGCTAAAATTTGAACACTATTAAGAGGGTTTCGTACGCCAAAAGCCTTTAGTGCAAGTACCAGATTTATAAAAATAAAATAAAAAGTTACCATGAATACGGGCAACGCTCAAGTTTTCAGTAATGTGCTATATTTACTTAGAAAAACAAGGAGTTACGCTCGAGAGTCTTAAGTCCTGTATTTATGAGATTTAGCGTATTACGTCCATTTTAAGGAGTGGTTACTATTTCTCCATATACATGAGTTTTGTTTAGAAATTCCAACGCATAAGTAGTTTCTCCGCAATTACAGTCTCCGCATTAAAATTGTTTTCCGACCCTCAGATTACTGCTCGAGAAAAACTGTATTTATTTGAATAAAAAAACGTCTTAGTTTCTGAATTAAGAGAAAAATAGGGAGCATGGTCAAAAACAGAGAAACAATTTTAAAAATTGCGTTTAGGTGCAAGTTCAGGCGCACTTCATGAACCTCTGAACCATTTCAACAAATAATTTCAAAGAATGGTAACATGAAAATAAATTTGATTCAGGTTCAATGCAATTAAAAATTCAAACACCAATGCGTTTTACTTTCAACATATTGCTGAGTCTTTCCATCACCAAAAATTGGGTGCATGTCTTACTGAAGAACAGGTCCAAATTTCAGGCTGAAAAATC